TGCTTCTCTGATCGACACCGGGAGTCCTGCGCTGTCTCGTCAGGTCCGAGCCACGGCCAGGGATCAGCACCCACACCTCCCTGAAACACAGAGGCGTATCATAGGCATACATGTAGGCACATACATAATCATATTCACTGACACTCAAATAACAGAAAACACAGAAACCGGTTAACTTGATTTACTAAAGTGACTAAAACTGAAATAAAAACTATCTAAACATTCTTAGATCAAGATACAAATTACTTAAGATATGAAGAAAATGTATCAAAATTATCTGCTAATGGGGTCAGAAAAACAAATGTATTTTCTGGCAGATATTTGTTCTTATTTTAAGCATAAACTCTCTTCACTTTGATGCATTTTTCACTTATCTTATGTCATTTTGATTCTCAAGTAACAAAAAAACCTGAAAGAATAATTAAAAATTACTAAAATATACAGCAAAATGACTAAAACTTTAGCTAAACCTAAACCCAAAACGTAATCATATTTTATTTTAGATTGTTGTCTGGGTATTATTTCTTATTTTAATTCAGTTTAACTTGGTGTATTAAAATAACACAAACTAAAGCTGATTTTTTAATAGATTTATATATATATAAAAAAAAAAATTAAATAACAAAATTACTAGAACTTTAACTAAAATGAAAAATAAAATGAAAAATATAAAAATAAGTGCTGGGCAACGATAAATCGTGATTAATCACATCTAAAATAAAAGATAGTGTTTGCCAAAAAGTTTGCACAAATGCATGCATATATATATATATATATATATATTATATATAAATATATACATAGTATATACATGCAAATATTTCTTATATATACAAAATAATTATACACAGTACATACATTTATTATGTAAACGCAAACTTTTATTTTGGATGTGATTAATCGTTGCCCAGCACTAATATATATATATATATTATATATTTCTAAAATAACAACGGCGTTACATAAACAAAACATGAGCAGAAACACATTTCTTAATCAAGAACAGAACTTTTGTCCTTCTATAAAGAGTACATGAGGCAAAAAGTGCTTAACCTTCAGAAAATAATGATCGTTCACCTCACTGAGTTTAATTGTGCAGTTATTTAAAGGAAATTCGCAACCAATTTCCAGTGATTAAAGAAGCGACGTGAAAGACTCGTACCTCCGGGTAGGACCACTCCGGTGAGAAGTCGGTGATGTTGGCCAAGCGCTGGGACTCCTCCGGCGCGCCGCCGGACGCGAGGCGAGTGTGTGTGTGTGAGGAGCGGGAAGGGCAGGAACGAGGTGGACGGCGTCGGCTGGGGCGGGACCATGTACCTGACGGGGTAAATAGGCGGAGTCGGGGCGGGGGCGTGGCTCACGGTCTCCTCGGTGATCAGCTCAGATATTAAGTCAGGGAAGGTGGAGTCAAACGTAAGCCCGCCTCCTCGCCGTCTATATGGGCGCAGTGGGTGGTGTCCATGGGCGTCACTTCTGAATCATAATGAGTGGGCGGAGACTGCTCCTCTTTAACCTGTATGGGCGTCATGTTTGTGGGTGTGGCTGGGGGCGGAGTCAGATTCTGTGGTTGAATGCACATGGAGTGTGTTGGTTAAAAGACAGGATTGCACTTGAAGCTCTGACTGCATAAGCTCCGCCTTTTCTCCTTCTTGAGGAAGCTGATTGGTCCGGCAGCACTTCGAGGGGAGGTGGTTGTGTTGGCGGCTGCCAGTTGGTTGTTGACGTGTTGGGAAGGAGAGAGCTGATTGGTTAGTAGATGAGTGGGCGTGGCTTGAGCATTGAATCCGGTGGGAGGAGCTGTGCCGTTTGTGGGCGGGACTGAAAGTGAGGGGCTCAACGAATCAAGCCCTAATGATGTCTCGAGATACATCGTGAGCAACGCAGGAGTCGTTCGCGTCGGAGAGAGCGAAAACGAAAAAGAGGCGGACTGGAGGCGGGACGACCTGGAATACTCTTCCTCTCCGTCTCAGAAGAGAGGGAAGAGAGAGAGGACGGGGGAGAAGTGGGAGAGAGTGAGAGAGCGAGAGAAGGAGGCTGAGGAGATGTGGAAGGAGGCGGAGACGGGGAGGAAGAGGCGGAGATGGAGGCGGGGCCTCCGTACGTCTGCCCTGTTTGGGGCTGTTGAGGAACGAATCGGGGTCGAACGGAAGAAGCGAGGGCGAAGGGGACGACGGTGGAGGAGCGTCCCGGGTGCTTCTGGGATAATGCGATCGGGTCAGCAGCAGTCCTCCAATCACAGGGCTGGGAAGTAGAGTGAGTGACAGCGTGGCCACGCCCTGATTCGCCGGGATGGGGCTCGGTGGGGAGGCGGAGCTTGGCGGAGAGGGCGTGTCATGTTTAGCCGGGACAGGAGATAAAACTAAGCGTCCGCCGGCACGAGTGAGCGAAAGTCGGGTCTCGCCGTTTGGCTCCTCCCCACATCCACGGCTTACCGGCGCCGCCGTCGTCATCACGATTACCGCGTTCTGCGGCAGCGCCACCGTTGCTAATCCGCCACGCTGGAAACCATTTCCGTTGCTCAGCGCGATTGTCGCCGCCCGCTGCGTTTGTGGCGGACTGGAAGATGACGAGGAAGAGGCGGAGCATGGGGAAGCCACGCCCACCATGTCCTCGATCTGATCTTCTGGCGGCTGCTTTCTCTCTGAAGGCACGACAGCAACTGACGCATCGCCTGGCCCCGCCTCTCGCCCGACCTCTGCTCCTGAGCCCTCATTGGCCAGATTCTGCAGCTCCGTGAGGGCGGGGTAAGGGGCGGGCAGTTTGGGGGAAATGATGCGATGTTTTGTGCTGTTGCAGCGATGAGGAATGTTGGATCCGGGAGATGCTGTGGAAAACGTCAGTGGAAGATCAATAAAACTATTGTTCAAAAGTATAGGGTCGGTGAATTAATGTTAATGTTTTTTGAAAGAAGGCTGCATTTATTTGATACAGTAAAAAATACAGTAAAAACAGTAATATTGTGAAATGCTATTACTGTTTAACATAACAGATGTCTTATTTAATATATTAAAATGTATTTCATTTAAGTTTCAAATACCTAGGAATTTTTTTTTCCAAATATCTACAACTCAGAAGTTTATTTATTAGCTCTGGATGTGTAAAGTTATGGAGTATATGTTTAACTAGTATGAGGAATGTATGACATAAACGGTCATATGTTTATGTCTGTATATTTGTATGTATTTATTTAATTATTTAAATAAAGAGAGCTCAATTAAGACATGTATGCAATGTGTAAATTGCATAAATTTAATAAAAATATGTTATACAATAATGTATTTCATTCATAGTTTACATTTCAACCTTTTGTAATTTTTGATATTTTTATTCATTTAAATATGTCTATATCATTTTTATCAGTTTTATTTCAGTTTTAATTATTTTCACACATCAAGTTAAACTAAATGAGAAATATTGTACCTCGTTTAATTTTTATTTCAGTTAAAGTTTATTTTATTTTAAGTAATGACATGTTTATTTAACTATAATAGCTTTAGTTAACTATAATAATCCCAGTCCTTGCTGAATAAAAGCATTATTGCTTTTGAAAATAAATCTTATTGAACCGAAACTTGAACGTAAGTGTATGAACAATTGAACGCAATCAATTGTTATTGATTAACATAAATCTGTGCAAAATAGTTTTTAGAATTTCTGTCAAATTGATTAATCGTGATAAATTGCATCTAACATTAAAATGTGTAAATATATATCCTGTATATACAGCGCATCTGGAAAGTATTCACAACGCTTCAACTTTTCCACATTTTGTTATGTTACACAGCCTTATTTCAGAACGGATTAAATTCATTATTTTCCTAAAGAAATTCTACAAGCAATACCCCAAAATGACAACGTGAAAGACGTTTGTTTGAAAATTAGCAAATATTAAAAATAACAAGCAGCATTTAGCGGTGTTCAAGCAGTTAAGGCCTTTAAGGCCGTTAAGCACAAAAGCGTCAAAAGACATTAAGTTTTATTTAGCATACATTTAAACACTGACATAATAGATGGAAAAGACCATTTACAGCCAATACAGGCAATTTACCATAGGAAATACATGGTTTTGAAGCTTTTTAACAGTTATAGCGCCACCTATGGTCCGATCTCCATGAAACTTTGCATGCTTCTTCACCATGTTATTACACATGTGCTCATCAATTTTTGTGAAGTTCTGAGTTTTTATTTATGATTTTGAGTGTATTTTGACACGCCCCCTTTTCTAAGTGACCCTGTTACAGTGAACCAAAGGGCAAAGTTCAACTTTTTTTTTGATAATTATTGATCTAGAGAGTCCAGAGAATTGTCCTAGACTGGTCTGGTTCTGATCGGGCGAAAAACCAGGGACTAGTTCGCGAAAGTAGGTTTTGGACAAAATTGGACATAGCAGAAATTTTTTCGGGCCTAAATCGATTTTGGAGATATACATTTTGACCGCCTTGAGTCAAGGATCACAGTGGTGTAAAAAGCTTGATTCTAAGTTAAACGGTCTAGGAGTTATGAGCAATTTAGTACTTTTGGTTGCTGTAGCGCCACCTATGGGCCAATGGGGGTCATACTCTGATAGGTTCTCCCAAACTGAGGCCCTAAATATAAGTCTCTAGGGCTTACGGTTTGGGCTGCACGATGCGTTTTAGGGGATTTTTTTTTTTTTTTTTTTTTTAATCCTTACAATTACAATAGGTTTTCAGCACTTTGTGCTTGAACACATAATTTTTTTTTAAAAAATCACATGTACATAAGTATTCACAGCCTTTGCCATGACACGCAAATTGAGCTCAGGTGCCTCCAGTTTCCACTGATCATCCTAGAGATGTTTCTACAACTGGACTGGAGTCCACCTGTGGTAAACTCACTGGACTGGACATGATTTGAAAGGCACACACATGTCTATATAAGGTCCCACAGTAACAGTGCATGTCAGAGCACAAACCGAGCCATGAAGGCCCAGGAATTGTCTGTAGACCTCCGAGACGGGACTGTATCGAGGCACAGATCTGGGGAAACAGTTCTGCAAGGTCCCAGTGAGCACAGTGGTAGGCATGGGCTAATGAAGCCTCATGAGATATTAAAAGAATATTTTTAGGATCCGCGCGAGTCGTTTTGGATTCATCAGCTGGATGCGCTCCGATATCCAGGTCTGAAGGAGGACATTGAGTTTAAATGTTTCTTATGATATGGTTTTTGTCCTATACTTATGTTTTTTGTCTTGTTCAACACATGATATTTGTCTTATTGTCTTATTTTCCTCTCCAGATGACCTGCGTTGAGGCAGATGGTTTTGGAGATACTTTTGTTTCTTTGTTAGTTTCACCTGTTGTGGTACTTATTATGTTGATTTTTCCCTATCCTGTTAGACCTGATTGCCTCATTGGGTTAATTGTATTCTGTCTGATTATATGTGGGACTTAAAGGTGCAGTGTATGATTTTTAGCGACATCTAGCGGTTCGGTTGCGAGTTTACACTAAGGGCTCAGCCCACTGCTCACCCCTCCCTTTCGAAGAAGCTACGGTGGCTAAAACGGGACAAACATCGTCGTCTGAGACAGCAGAGAATAGCCAGAGTAAGCCAAGAGTGTGTAACATTGTCACTGTTTCTGTACCACAGTCCATTATAAACCACACCATGGATAAAGTTTACAAAGCCATAGTCAGGTGAGGATCAAGGGTCTTAATATAATATAATAATAGTAATCAGCTGATTGTCTCACGAACGTAACCAGCACATTCTCTCCACATAGCAAACCCATAATACAGCGAGGAGAAGAACCACATGAAACTATGCAACTATTAGGGTGTAACGATACACAAACCTGACCGGTTCGGTTCGTCCCACGGTTTTGAGGTCTGGGTTCGGTTCGGTTCGGTTCATTTCGGTGAGGGGTGGGGGGGGGGGGGGGGGGGAGGTTTAGAAAGCTAAAATTGCTTTTATTATTTATTAAACAGTGCTTTAATGAACAAATTGTGTCCTTGTCTTTAAAATTACTTCAATACAAGTAAACGTTTCTCAAGGATAACAAAATTATCTGCTAATGCTGTAAACTACAGCCCTTACTTGCACATTACTATAACATTAAAGCTTAACAATAGAGCCTAGACTTTTAGCCTAAATGATATAATAATAATCAACACTCAAATAACAAATTGTATGAAAACATGTAAACTGCACATAAGGCAATTTTTGCATTAACATGTTTTTACTCTAATTTGTTATTGTTATATAATAATTTACACAGTTGCTGTTATTTTCATGACAACTATTTTAAACATACATTAAATAATCAAGATAAACAGGTTAAGTAAAATATAATATATAGGCTAATATATAGCATTTATTTAGTGAAAGAGTTAGCAAACCAGCAAGCTGTGGACACTGAATGACTTGCCTGAGGTAAATATAAAGCTATGTGAAAAACTAAGCGTTTTATTGACGTATTTCCGCTGTTGAAACACTGATTGAGTGTTTACACGAGTTATGATGCCTTTCAGTAAGTATACTGTATCTTTCAACATACCTTCGGGTGTCCATTCATGTTTATTCTGTAACTGAGGAAGAGATGATCGCGCCCGCGCTGCCGCATGCATACAGTGATATCTGTCACGCCACATCTAAGAGCGCCAAAACGGCATTTATTGTTTGCATTTCGTGATCAAATAGACATAATTTGAAAGATTACACCTTGCTTATTATCAAAAGTAACAAAACACTGAGCCAGTGTTAATTTTGTCAGCAAATTTTGATTTAGTTTTAGTCTTAGTCTTTTGACTAAAATGCCATTTAGTTTTAGTCATATTTTAGTCATCTGAATTGTTTTAGTTTTAGTCTAGTTTTAGTCGACGAAATACAATAACATTTTAGTCGACTAAATCTACAGTAGATTTAGTCGACTAAAATATAATGGGTTTAGTTCAATTGTAATGCGTTAATTTAGAATTTCTCTAAAATTTCCAAACCCATATACTCCCGGAGAAAACATCTATTAACCTATTAATATGAATGATTTTTAAGTTTGAACATGCAATACAGATACAGATTTAACTGCTGTTACTTTAAAAATATCTTAAAATGAAATAAAACCACTTTTCCTAAAGTACAACACAGTCTTCTTTACAATGAATGATATATTCATTCCTTATAACTACTTATACATCATTCTTTATTCTTTCAAGCAGACATATTTATTTGTATGAATTAAATATAATTAATCCTTATTAAAGCTATTAACAAACAGTGAATGCTTTTCTCTTTTTCTTTTGTTGCTTGATCAAAATTAAGGACACGGACCGCATTAGGTTTATTGCCACTGTCACTTTAAGACGTCGGATCATGTCCAATGACATGCGGATACAATTGCACTGATGCACATCCGACACACTCACAGTTTAAGACATAACCAACATAGTTTACATGAATACTCTCCAAAAAGGACATTTAGACATACTGTTGTGTATTTCTCCATTCAGACACGAAAGAGAGCTCAATTCAGTAGCCTACTCGCGCGCTGTAGGTGTATTGTGCATGACTGCACGCTTCGGGTTAGGTGTGTGCGCACAGAAAACCGCACCGAATAGAGCTCTTTTTTGCATCGTCACTCTTATTCAGAGATCTATATGTCTGCTCTACTCATTCTCCCAGACGTTCACATTTTTTAACGTTTTATGACCGCGGGGTAGATCACGTTACAGTAGCCTACAAATGTGCGCATCTACCACACACGCAGGACATCAGTTCTGACGGATCGCTTCCCAAATCGTCACTATCTAACATTTTCGTCTAGTTTTTATTCGTTGACGAAAATGTCAATAGATTTTCGTCATAGTCTTTGTCATTCAAAACTAGGTTTTATTTAGTTATCGTCTCGTTTTCGTCTGTGAAAAAATGTCGTTGACGAATAATTTTCGTCGTTATTTTCGTCAACGAAATTAACACTGCACTGAGCTTATTGCGATTATATGTGGTTAATGGTGGTTAGGCAACAGCCCTGTATTCGTTGTGTACACATAACACATGAGGTGCAATGAGCCGGGGCTGCAGGGGCAGCAGCGGGCGTGGCTGGGCGGGGCAGCAGGGGGCGTGGCTGGGCGGGGCAGCAGGGGGCGTGGCTGGGCGGGGCAGCAGGGGGCGTGGCTGGGCGGGGCAGCAGGGGGCGGGGCGTGTTCGGTTCGCCATGAGAGTATCGCGATACGTATCGTGGGTGGTGTATCGCGGTTTTTCGGTTCGGTTCAAATATCGTTACACCCCTAGCAACTATATATTTTTTCTAACAGGGAAGTAAAAGTTTAGCCGGCTAATATGAGCTGTTACTGTGGCTGAGCTGGTTAAAGCGTAAAGCCTTGTTTAAACTCGACGCGTCCGCATGAGCGCAAAGGTGCGCGCGGCAAAAATGACGTGATTGTAACAGCGCGCGCGCCTCCGCATCCCCTACACACCACTTACTACACACAATAGGCTTTTTTCTCTGATTTTGAAAACTCTTCGCGATCGACTTAAAATGCTTCCAAGATCGACGGGTTGGTGATTCCTGTAACGTTACTGTTTTACGGTCAATGACAAAAGTGCTAATCAGCTGTCTCACGAACTTAACCAGCACATTTATCCGCACATAGCAAAGCCATAACACAGCGAGGGAGAAGAACTAAGTTACATGAAACACTTCAACTACATATTTACACCACTGACAAGGGAAAAGTCACTACTCACGGTGTCTATGACTAGCTTCTTCTAGCTTTCTGCTGCTTCTTTTTCAAGGTAGAGACGAAGCGCGCTCTGTAGCGCTGTGTGTTCGCTGTCGGCTACGGTAGAAACATGACGTCACAATATGGCGACCTTCATAGAAGGGGGCGCCCGCGGTTATGTAGATATAAATGCCTCATTCTAAGGTAATAAAAACATTACGGTTTATTAAGTAAGTTCTTTATACACCACTGAACACATAGTTATGGATGTCATATTGCATTTCTGTTAATAGATACTCAAAATTATTACACATTGCACCTTTAACTTATAATTTTCTAATTTTCATTCTCATATCTTGTGTTCCTTTGCCCTGAAGAAGACCACTTATTTGGTCGAAACATGTACTTTTTAATGACTTAAGCCACATTCAATAAAGGCTTTTTAACTTGATCCTTCTCCTCATTTGAAGACTTGACTGAGTGCCTGGGACCTGTTCTTTTGTTTCTTTGGATCTACCCCAAGAGCACCTATCACAGACTTTATATACTTTACCTGAGCGCCTGGTTGAACCTTTTACAATATTTTTAGGTCATTCTGAGGTCACTCAGCCGCCCCCCCCCCCCCCCCCCCCCCCCCAATATATACAGCTCTAGAAAAATGAAGAGACCTCTGCAAAATTTATAGATATGTGTTTGGGTAAAATTAACATTTTTGTTTTATTCTATTAACTACTGACAACATTTCTCAACATTTCAGACGCATAAAAACTGATTGAAAATCAGGGATATTCCACCAAATCTTGATTTCTCAACTCTTCCTAAGTTAAAACATTAATATTGTGTTGTTTAAAAATGAATATGAACTTATTTTCTTTCCATTATTCGAGGTCTGACAACACTGCATCTTTTTTTGTTATCTGCAAATAAATGCTCTAAATGACAATATTTTTATTTGGAATTTGGGAGAAATGCTTATAGCATCAGTAGTTTATAGAATAAAACAAAAATGTTAATTTTACCCAAACACATATCTATAAATAGTAAAACCAGAGAAACTGATCATTTTGCAGTGGTCTCTTCATTATTTCCAGAGCTGTATATATATATATATATATATATATATATATACATATACACACATATATTATATATTTACAAACTTTAATGTTAGATGCGATTAATCAATTTGACAGCACTAGTTTTTAGCATAAAGTATTTCTCCATCACAAGCAGTTATTAATAATGAGCTCCTGTGGTCACATGACAAAAAAAAAATAGTTTACTCAAAAAAGCTAAATAAACACTACAATCGCGATGTTTGATT